GAGAATCTCAACGGATGAATCGACAAGAACTAAAGAGGGCCGGAGAGATTTTCTAACCCAGATATAAAGAATCCTCAGGAAAAGAGGATACGATTCATCAGGAAGAGATAAGTTCGGAGAAGATAGTATAGAAATAACCAGCTTAGCTTGTGGGTCAGCAACATAGAGTGACGATTGAGAGTTAACGAGCGTTTTGAGAGATTGAATGTGGCGATCATCAAACAATTGATGCTCCAAACTGCTTCTAAGCTCAGCCCATGCTTGGATAATTTCTCGAGCAGACGAGGAACTGATTTTAGAGTTAAAACCACTGCTTATACCGCTGATGCTCTTCAACCATTCTTCGAGGAAAACAGAATTCGCCTGCTTTGCCATCTTATCATTTGGAGGTACAAAAAAGGCGAGCGGAGCATATGAAAGAAAGCTTAGAAGAATCAAACAAATGAATTGGAATTAGAAGAGAAGAAGATAGAATTTGTTTGTTTATGCAATCTTATTCTTATCATTTCTTCTACAAAATTGAGAAACCATTGATGAAAGGAAAATACATTGTTACCAATGAGCGCGTAGGTATCTTCCTCCACACCAGAAACAAAAATAAGAAATTTGAACCCTTTTTTTATTTCAAAAAAAAAGTATTAAATTTAGGTCATTTTGTATAAAAATTTATTAAATTTTGTTAACATAATATTTATTTTTATTTTATTATAATTATTAGTTCCATAAAGCACGGGATTTGACCTCTAACTTTTTGGTTTTGCTTAAAGTGGGCACGATCGCACTCTTACGACAACAGGATAGCGATTAGGTAGCACTTGTTCTTAACCTAGAGAACTCAGTCGTGTGAAGTTTGGACTTCGCGAAAAATATTGACGTATACTCAGTCTTGGATCATGTTTGATAGAAATGTTTTTAGAAAATATGAACGAGAAAATGTGTTTGAAAACAATTTGAAATAAATCAATTTTATAAGCTAAAAGCGAATAAGCAATCACCATAGTTTTGATAGCATATAATCTGGGTAGGAAGAATTGATAACTAATTACATTCCCTACAATATATTTGGGGGCATTTTAGTCATGCTAGGTGTAGAGATGATTTTGGTGATATGCACTCTCGTATTTACACAACAAGAATAGTAAATGTCTATCTAACGGGACGCAAGTAAGAGAGGTTTGGAACTGGGCATGCGGCCATGGACAAAACTCAATTTCTTTCAAGCGATAATCTATTTCTTTCGATTGATATGCTGGCCCAAGCCAACCAATACCACAAGACGGAGCTAAACACGAACACCAGTCAGGCCTCAAGCATGTGACCCACTTCTCGAGCCAGTCCAATGTCTATACGACTTAGCCCTCTAAGTCATCTTCTCAAACAACACACTGTTCGACTTCTTCGAGTCATCCACTAGACGATAGCTTAGGGTTGTCTCCACCTAGTCGGTCATCTATTGCTCGGCTTCATCGACTCAACAGCTCCTCGTTGGCTCATTTGACCTAAGTGAATCGACTTTGTTTCGGTTTCTGGAAGATGCAGATTGAAGATTATCTGTACCAGAAAGATCTTCACAAACTCCTGTTTGGGGTGAAGTCGGATACCATGACCACGAAGCAGTGGAAGCTCAAGCATCGACAAGCCTTAGGGCTGATCCGGTTGACACTGTACAGAAACGTGGCATTCAACATCATCAAGGAGAAGACAACGTTAGATCTATTGAAGGCCGTCGGCTATGAATATGGTGTATTTGATGCGAAAATTGTTCAATCTACAAATGTCTGAAGGTGGCTATGTTGTTGATCATATAAATGAATTCAATATGATCGATCGTAAGTCAACTGAGTTCGATGGAAATTAATTTCAATGATAAAATTAAAGCATTGATTTTGATGTCATCTTTACCCGAGTCGTGCGATACTGTTGTTGTCGCAATCAGCAGTTCCCGAGGATTTGATAAAGTGAAGTTTGATGAAATTCGAGATGTAGTTCTCAGCGAAAGTATTCGCAAACGAGAAATTGAAAATTCATCTGGTAGTGCTCTCAGTGTTCACCAACGGGGAAGAAGTAAACCGAAGAGCCCAAACAAAGAGCGATCAAAATCAAAGAACCGAGAAAAATCTTCAAATAGACCAAACATAACGTGTTGGAATTGTGGAGAAAAATGACACTTTTGGATAGATTGTACAAAACCAAAGAGGAAGCAAAATCACAAATCTGGAAATGATGATGATTCTATAAATTCAGCCGAAGACATTGGAGATGCTCTAACCCTCAGCATGGACAGTTCGATTGAATCCTGAATTTTGGATTCAGGTGCATCTTTTCATTCGTCTCCAAATAAAGAGTTGTTCCGGAATTTCAAGTCTGGAAATTTCGAGAAGGTGTATCTTGCCAACAACAAAGATTTGGAGATTAAAGGAAAAGGAGATGTCTGCATAAAAACTCGGAAATCATTGGACATTAAAGAATGTCAGATATATTTCTGGTCTCAAGAAGAACCTGATCTCTATTGGTTTGTTGGACAGCACAGGTTATGCAACAGAGTTAGAGAAGAGTTCGTGAAAGATTATGAAGGGTGCTATGGTGGTAGCACGTGGCACAAAATCTGGAACCTTATACATCACTGCAAAGTGTATGAACATAGCTGCTGTTGTTGAGAGTGCTTCAAATTCAAGTCTATGGCACAATAGACTTAGACATATGAGCATGAAAGAAATGAAGATGTTGGCTGCGAAAGGAGTTCTAAAAGGCCTGAAATTTGTTGATGTGGGTCGTTGTGAGAATTGCATTATGAGCAAGTAGAAACGAGTTAACTTCACAAGGAATGCAAGAGAATTGAAGAAAGTGTGGTTGGAAATAGTCTATATAGATGTGGAGCAAGGTTCCAAAACCACTAAGCAAGTGGAAGTTGAGCTTGAGTTGCAGGGAAACTCACCTAGTGATGTTGTAGCAGATACTCATGAAACTCCTGAGACTATTGCTGAGCAACCAGATGTGGAGCAAGGTTCCAAGATCACGAAACAAGTGGGAGTTGAGCTTCAGTTGCATGGAAACTCACCTAGTGATGTTGTAGCAGATACTCATGAAACTCCTGAGACTATTGCTGAGCAACCAGATGTGGAGCAAGGTTCCAAGATCACGAAGCAAGTGGGAGTTGAGCTTCAGTTGCATGGAAACTCACCTAGTGATGTTATAGTAGATACTCATGAAACTCCTGAGACTCCTGCTGAGGAACCAGATGTGGAGCAAGTGTCCAAGACAATGAAGCAAGTGGGAGTTGAGGTAAGATTCCAAGACAATGAAGCAAGTGGGAGTGGAGGTAAGGTTCCAAGACAATGAAGCAAGTGGGAGTTGAGGTTGAGTTGCGAAAAAAATCACCTAGTGATGTTGTAGCATATACTCAAGACACTCCTGAGACTGTTGCACAGGAACCAGCGGTAGAGCAAGTGACACCTGAACTGGTGTTGAGAAGATCATCCAGTATTATCAGAGTACCAGATATGTATGTATCTTCATTACACTATCTGTTGTTGATGAAAGGGAACTAGAGCCCTTTGACGAGACCCTACAGTTGGAGGATACAAACAAGTGGGAGCAAGCCATGGATGATGGGATGCCTAGGCTTCAAAAATGCGTTGTACTGGACTGAGTACGTGGCAATAACTGAAGCTGGGAAGGAGGTGATATGAATGACTGACTATCTGGAAGAATTAGGCAAGAAGCAGCACGAAAAGATTCTTTATAGAGATAGTCAGAGTGTCATACAGTTGGTGAGGAACCCGATCTATTATTTAAAGATAAAACACGTAAGGCAATACCATTTCACTTGCAGGTTAGTAGAAGATGGTGATGTGTTTTGAGAAGATAAAGGGTGCAAAGAATCCAGCAAACATGTTGACAAAATGTGTTGATGTTGGAATATTAAGGTTGTGCAAAGCCTCAATTGGTATGGTACCATGAAGATGCTCATGGTCGTTTGAGAATAAAATTTTTGGTTGACTAGATTAGTCAACCGTGAGAGAATTGTTAGGTTATACTCCTTATTTATTATTTATAGCTTAGTCAACTGTTATGCATAGTAGAGCTATATTTAGTAAATGACATATAAAGTTATATACGGTAGATAGTTATATATGGTAAAACTATATATAGTAAGCTAAAAGGTAGAGTTTTGAAATGTACTTACTATATTGTTTGTATTCTTTCCTACGGTACATATTTCTATCTTTATTTTTTGTGTTCATTTATATCGAGTGTGTGCATTGTTGTGCGATCCTAACACACATGTTAGTTAAACTACTATTTTATATGGATTAATATATTTTCATTGTCTAGGATTATTAGCTGCATACGCTTCCATATATATCCGTTCACGTTATGATCATGAATAAAATTTGCAAGATACCATGAAAATGTACATCGTCTCTTAAGGAATTGAAGATCTCACTAACTATAAATTTAAATGTGAAACATCATGCATACTGATTGAATCATAGATTAATTCTTCAATTGTGGAATAAACAAATACGTACATTTGCAATGTTGTTTGTGCTCCTTTGTTTTACGTTAGTTTCGACTATATGAGCACATGCTTACCCACAGTTAGGGTTAGATATCACGCTAACGAACCTACATAGTGGACCCACGAGTATGTGTGTGGACCATATGTAGAAGAAAGTTATAAGTAGCGTGTACACAAATTGAGTTGGGTTGTGAACTTTGTTCATTAAATATGTAGGTTGGATTTTTCTTTTCTAATTATTTTAAAATTTCTATTTATTTACGATCGATGTTGCATTAATAATTAATAATTAAAATTTTGTAGCATTCGAATATTAAATATTTACATGGTTTAAATATTATTAATTTTTTTTAAAAAGAAGTGTTTGACCTAAAAGTGTTGAGATGAGTCTATTAAGAAGTGTGGAACCCTGGCTATAATTTAATGAACTTACAAAAAGACGTTTATTGAAAGAAGAGTTTCACAATAAGTTCCATTTTAAACAGCAGAAAACTTTGGAGATGTTTTGAACAGTTACAATATTACTAAATTTGTGAACTCTCGCCGTAATTTTCTTCAAAACAATTTTCATAATCGCAAGTTTCTAACCCGTTCATCGCTCGATCTCTCGTCGGGTAAAAGGAAAAAAGTAGGAATTTCACTATGAGAATGAATTTGAGTTCTACCATTTCTGGGAAGAATTTGCAGATTCATCGCTTTCATCGGTTGCATCGCTCTCGATTGGAGTTCCCTACTTCTATCTCTTCTCGTCATCAGTCAACTTTGGGGGCGTTTCCTCGTTTACCGCCGCGGATTGATGGAGGTTCTGTTCGTTGTTCGCATCCTTCGCGTGAGTTTTCACTTACTTTTCCTGCTATTGGTCTCGTTTTACTGAATTCGAGTTTTGTTAGCTGATTGAGTTGAGTTGAATTTTGTCTAGTTTCTGCTGATTGGAGCTCTCGATTCTCGATTTTCACAAGATGTGTACCGGAAAAGTTTTCTGAATTTTTGGAGCCGGATCAAGATTCTTCTAACAGTTCACCTCCGGTGATGTTTTTGTTAAATTAGAATATCTTTCTCAGCAGTATTCATGCTTTTGTCTTTTCTTGATTATATTAATATATTGAGATTTAGGACCTTAACAAGTGCGGAATAAATAGAAGATGGAGTATCCGAATAAAGAGTTTTAATGATCTTTAGAAACAGATAAGCTGGATCATCAAGGTGCATGTTGTCTAAAAGCATTCAATTAAATAATCGATAAAACAACAGGAAGTCAGCAATAAGCATTTTCCTTCCCCTTTCTTGGCATTCTGAGTCTTAAAAGTAAGAACCTATGTGCGGATGTGTTGAAATCATGATTGGATTACAACAGGAAGCGGATTTCAAGAAACATAGGACGAATTTCTAGTTTCTCCTTAGGTTGCTGGTTTAGCTGCAGGAGTTAAAAAGTGAGGAGGTTAAAATTTGATTGTCCCTTGGAGTCAGCATATTTCAAATCTATATAGGATAATTGTAAAATTAGTCTGTCAAAATGAGATCTAGTTTTTAATTTTCGAAGAACATGCTTGAAATTTTGGCCACGTTTAAATCCCAGAAACCTTTTTCTTTTTTAATTTTTAGAACATGACGAATTTTGAAACATTTTCTTTATAGTAATTGTTTGTAATACAAGCATAATTAAAACGAAGATATGCATGTTCTTTATGCAGACTTGTGCAATTTTAAAGTCGACATTAATTCTAATGTAGCTGTTGGAATTTCTTTTCATATTCACCAGATCTTTGAGAAAAAGGAAGCTACATTTGTCAAGATACTGAAACAGTCAAATTCTCTCCTGCCTCATGTGGTTCTTGCTAGCACACTGGTTGCCCTTATTTTCCCACCATCTTTTGCTTGGTTTACTAGCAGGTGATAAAGGTTATTGAAGTAAGCTTGGTTGATTGAACTATATTTGTATTCTTACCAGAAGTTTGACTATCTTCTGATATATGTCAGTGCTTTTACAGGTACTATGCCCCTGCATTAGGATTTTTGATGTTTGCAGTTGGGGTTAATTCCAGTGAAAAGGATTTTCTTGAAGCCCTCAAGCAGCCAGCAGCTATCTTTGCTGGTTATGTTGGGCAATTTTTTGTCAAACCGCTTCTTGGGTATCTATTTGGGACGATCGCAGTGACTTTGTGTGGTCTTCCTACTTCAATAGGTGAGAATGAGCTTCCTCAATCAATACCGAACTGTTTGGACTTTGGAGAATTCTAACCTTCTCGTCAATAAATCGATCAGGTGCTGGAATCATGCTGGTCTCTTGTGTTAGTGGGGCACAACTCTCAAGTTACGCTACGTTTTTAACTGATCCAGCCCTCGCTCCCTTGAGCGTTGTTATGACATCATTATCCACTGCTACTGCTGTTTTTGTCACTCCATTTTTATCTTTATTGCTCATTGGAAAGAAACTTCCAGTTGATGTTAAAGGGATGATATCTAGCATTACACAGATTGTAGTTGCACCAATTGCTGCAGGGTTGCTTCTGAATCGGTAATGAAATATTTCCAGATAACTATATCCAAAATCCCATCTGCTGAGAGCTTGCCATTATCTTATATATCTATCCTTTCAGGTTCTTTCCTAGGATTTGTGATGCCATACGGCCTTTTTTGCCTCCACTTTCGGTATTGGTGACAGCTTGTTGTGTTGGAGCTCCACTAGCTATTAACATCAACTCTGTTATGTCCCCATTTGGATTTTCCATATTACTGCTCATTGTAGCTTTTCATTTATCTTCCTTTGTAGCTGGTTATTTCTTGACTGGTCTTGCGTTTCATCGGGCACCCGATGTGAAAGCACTGCAGAGAACACTATCCTATGAGACAGGTTTGACCATTTTTCAGCAGTTGAATATCCAAAAGATTACATTACATTGCTTACAGTAAATTGATAGACTTTCCCCTTCTGTAGGAATGCAAAGCAGTCTCCTTGCCCTTGCTCTCGCAAACAGGTTTTTCCAGGATCCCCTTGTTAGTGTGCCCCCTGCCATTTCAGTGAGTTATTTTCTTTCTGTTCCTTACACTTGGTATGATTTTAAATAATGGATCATTCATCGTTATTTATTTCGAATACTAATTATAAAAGAGATTCTATATTTATCTTAACACTTTCATTAGTTGATACTCATTCTGATTTGGCACTAAACCTTCAAATAGTCTATTTCAATCATTCATTTTAGCCCTTAACTTAGCATAAAAAGTAAAGCTGTTAATTTTTTATTAATCATTTAACAAGAACCTATATACATTTATACATTTGACATCTAACCTACACACTTGCCTTCAAAAACTTGTCCATGTAGACATCTATTCATATATTTTAGGGTGTTTGGGCTTTCCCTTATCTACTTCCCCTCAAGGTTTTAAAACGTGTCTATTAGGGAGGTCAAGGTTTTAAAACGTGTCTGTTAGGGAGGTCAAGATTTTAAGACGCGTCTATTAGAGAGAGATTTCCACACTTTTACAAGGAATGTTTCGTTCCCCTCTCCAACCGATGTGGGATCTCACAATCCACTCCCCTTGGGAGCCTAGCGTCCTCGCTGTCACACGACCCGATGTCTGGCTCTGATACCATTTGAAACAGCCTAAGTCCACCGCTAGCCGATATTGTCCTCTTTGAGCTTTGCCTTCTGGGCTTCCCTTCAAGATTTTAAAATGCATCTGTTAGAGAGAGGTTTTCACACCCTTATACGGAAAGTTTTGTTCTCCTCTCCAACCAATGTGATGCACAATGAGGATCGTATCCATACGATTTTGCACTTCTCGACAAATATAATCTGTTTCATTATTCTAAGTGGTTATTCTATTCTTGGTAATGAATGAACTTGTTATTCTTAACTTTTGGGTTCTAGAGTTCCTATATAATTTAAGCGACACAATAAAAGCTTTTTCTATTCTTTTATTAACTGATTTATGTATAGGATTCCATTCGCCCCATGGTTGGGAACTAATGATTAGTTCTGTTTACAAAGATTTGGGTTATAATTAGATTTATGTATAGGATTCCATTCGCCCCATGGTTGGGAACTAATGATTGGTTCTGTCTACAAAGATTTGGGATCTCACTAATTATAAACGAAAGCATAATGTTTTGAAAATTAGGAAACAAAGTAGAATTAGCACGAAAGTTTAGGAGCAAAATAGGATATAAATCTTAAAAGCATATTTCCTTGATCAGAATGTTCCAGTTTCTTAATCTGCACTATTCCTCCTACATTAAAAAAAGTAACAGGTTTCTTTTTTCTTTTTTTTGGGGGTGATAATTTGCAGACTGTGCTGATGTCCTTAATGGGGTTCTCTCTGGTTATGATATGGAGCAAGAACAAAGAACAGGATTTGATAAAGCAGAGCTGACAAAGTTAGGCCAATTTTTATATATTGTACAGGCGTTGTGGAGGCAGTTGAAGACGAACCAACCTATAGAAACAGCTTTTCTAGAATTGCATCCAACACTTGGACTTGAGGTTCCCACTCTTTCTTTTATTTAAACTTACAAGCTTTAAAGAAATTACCAATGCTTTAATAAATTGGCCCATGTTCCGATCTGTGACTTACTCATGAAAATTTTTGAATAACAAGAAAAGAAAAAGAAAAAAAAAAAAATGAAAGGCTTGATAGAATTGGTATCGATAGTAAAGCTTAGAAAGAATCTGTCGGTACCGTTTTTTAGCTCAACAATTGTTGATAGGTAAAGATTGAATCATTGATCTTTGAAATGGTAATTTGTGCATTATTAAGTTGTTACAATGAATGTTTGTTTGAATTATTATGCTTAATTAATATAATTATCTTAAGGTGTGATGCTATGTTTACATGATTTTTTTTGATGAGTTCATGGCTTGAATGATTTTCTTTATATTATTCTCAATCAGAATGAATGGGTAATACTTACTTTTTCATTGATCGGATATTTCATATTGAACACTATTAAAAATTTGATGATTACGAAAAAAAATGTAGAAACCATTCGGTACATCTAACTCAAATATAACATTGAACGTCTTATGAGCAAATGTTTAAGATATACTATAAAGTGGTTTCTTATCGAATAAAAAGAAAAATGAAAAGCAAGTGGGTAACATAGAAATTTATAACCGGATTTTGCAATTTTCTTTATTTCCATCAAAAGGGTAAGAAGTTCCATAAACGGGTCTTTTTATCTTTTGATTGCGTGTCCTTTTAAAGTGGAATTCATCATTTGTTTTGTCCGGATCCTCCTTTTCTTCCGAAAAAAGGAAAGGAGAAGTATCTTGTTCGGTGGATCCCTCTTGTTCCTATTTAGTCTCCCCGTTTCCTTCCGTATCTTAGTAAGAATAGGTGGCGATATCTTGCCTAAATAGTAGACACATGTAATAAATAAGATGGGAGCTATAAATTTTCTCAAACCTATTTAAACAGTATTAAATTAAACTAAATTATGTTAACATTAGGATTAAAACTAATTTATCCTAATTTAGTATTTATAGATTTAAGAGTTTTTAGGTTTAATTTGGTTGAGCCTCACAAATTTGCTATTTATTACTACATTAATGCCTATTTTTAGGGTATTAATAACTTTTTAACTAATCTAGTTAGTTGTTTAATAGCTTTTTGACCATTACTTGATTGTACTAAGTTATAGTTTAATTATAATTATAAATATCATAATTATTTTCTATGGTTTGCCCATTTTTAATGTATTAATAACTTTTTAACTTTAATAACTTGTTAACCAAGTTTAGGGCGGATTAAAAATAAGTAAATTGAAATTTGGTCCTCATTTTTTAAAATTTATAATTTTAAATATCATCACTTTTATCCGATCATAAAAATTAGAGTTTTATCAAATTTAAGGATAAAATTTTAAAGTTTTTTTTTTAATAGAGACCAAATTTGCAATATAATCTATAGAATAATTAAGTAGTTTTTTTTATTGCTAAATTAATAAAAATATCCTTAAATTTTGTATTTAGTCTTCCTAAGAACTTTTCAAAGTTTAAATGATACTCTTAAAACTTTAAAAAGAAAATTAAAAATGTCCAATTTTTTTAAGAAAATACAACCCTTTATCTCATAAATACCCTTGATTTTTTAAAGGTTTTCAAAAATAACTTTTAATTTGTTTAAAAAATACACTTGAGTTTTCAAAACATTTCATTAAAACCTTTAAACTTAAAAAAAAAATAAAGTTATTATCATATTTCGAAAATACTCATGAACTTAGATGTTAATAGACCGTCTTCATCCAATAATTTTTTTTTAAAACTTTTTTTTATATAAAGGTCAATTGTATTAATATTATTTTTAAAATTTGGATATTTTTTAAACACAATATTACTCCTAAGTGTTTTTTTTTTAATTCTTTTAATCAGTTAGAGGATATTAATGATTTTTTTTAAAAAAATTGAGGTATATTTTTTAAACACGAAATAAAATACTATTTTTTTAGACTGCTTAAAAAATTTTAAGTAATTTTTTTTTTTTTAAGAATTTTGAATATTTTTATTAATTAATTTTTTTTTTCATAGATAAATCCAATTCTAGAGTTGAAATTAAGACTTAAAAAATAAAATATTCACAAACTAAATTTGTAATTTTCTCTAATTAAATAAACGTAAACTTAATTTAACTAAATCCCTCATATAATTTACTTTATTTTTTCTGATGTTGCTTCCCCGAATTCATGTAAATACCTTACCAATTCTTTGATCAATTTCTTGAAGCAAATATTGTGCAGCATGAAAAGAGATTGGAGCCAATTTTGGTCCACAAATTCGATTGTTATCGCCATTCACCTTCTTCCCGAATCTTCACCTTCTCCGCTGAAAGCAAGCCAGAAGCGACTGTGAATTAGGGTAATCGCTGAATCAAAGAGATGATTCGTTGTTTTCAGAGCAATTCTTCCATTGATTACTGAATATATCAGTTTCCTCTGCTTTCTTTTAGCATTTGGGGACTCAAATTTCGTTTTCTACAAAAAAAAAAACCCCCAAATCATGTCACTCACATCCACCTTGTTACATTCCTTTTCAAATCCCAAATGCCCCATTTCTTCTTCTTCTTCTTCCTCGTTGCCGAGGTCGGCGACAGATTTCGCCGCTTCTTCTCAAGCTCTGACTGGAATTCGATTTCCGAGGATTATCGGCGCCGGTCTGGCTTTGGACTCGAAAACCATGGTGGTTTTGATCGGCACGGGCTTGACTCTTGCTCTTCTGGGACCTGAATCGGCTGCTGCTACTGCTGCTACGGAATTGCAGTCGTTGGGTGCTTCTTCGCTGCAGTTTAATGAACCCCAAAATGCTCTGTCCTTGCCCACCTGGGCTATACATGTTTCCAGTGTTGTTGAATGGTGAGGATTTATGATTCTTGTTCTGGTTTTTAATGATTTCATGAACTCCCTTTGATGCTTTTAGAAGTTTGAATACAAGATATTATGAACTCGTCAATATTAATTGAAAAGAAAATGAGCTTGTAGAAGTTTTAGAAGTTTGAATTCAAGATATTATGAACTCGTGATTATAATGATAGGTTGGAGATATGAGCTTTATGATCATTGTCAAACTGCAACTAGCTCTGGATTTTAGTTACCCATTTGATGAATAAACCAAACAGTTCATATCCTGCTTGTGGCTAGCTTGGCGTATACTTTGTTGATCTCAAGTCTTGTTTTGTAAGGATTACAGCAATGGCTTTGGTGTGGCAATATGGAGAGAAATCTGGCAATGAGTCTTGGAAGGGACTTTCTTGGGGAATGGTATGTTCTTTTTCTCTGTTTATAATTACTTTCTCATCTATCTTATAGCCAGGAGTTTCTCTTTCTTTTTTTTTTTTAATGAATCCCATGCACTTATTTATATTGTAATTCAGCAAAAATTATATGCTTTTGTAACGGCTAAATATTGTCTTATTTGGGCTTTTTCCTTTGAACTTCCCCTCAATGTTTTTAAAACCTGCGAGGGAGAAGTTTCCATATTGTCTTCTTTTGGCTTTTCCCTTCGGACTTCTCCTAAATGTTTTTAAAACCTGTTAGGGAGAGGTTTCCATACTCTTATAAAAAATGTTTCATTCTCATCTCCAACCAATGTGGGATCTCACAATCTGCCCTCTCAGGGCCCAACATTCTCGCTGACACTTGTTCCCTTCTCCAATCGATGTGGGACCCCCCCAATCTACTCCCTTTGAGGTCATGCATCCTTACTGACACACCGCTTTGTGTCCACTCCCTTTTGGAGCTTAGCCTCCTCGCTGGCACATCACCTGGTGTCTGGCTCTGATATCATTTGTAACAGCCCAAGTCCACCTCTAGCAGATATTGTCCTCTTTGGACTTTCCCTTTCGGGTTTCCTCTCAAGGTTGTTAAAACGCGTCTACTAGGAAGAGGTTTTCACACCCTTATAAAGAATGTTTCGTTCTCCTCCTCAACCGATATGGGATCTCACAGCTTTATTTAGATGGGGTGCTTTATTTAGATGGGGGAAGAGAGAGCGAAGATAAGTGACTAAATAAATTATTATTTCTTTAGTCACTCTCGGTTCATTGTATTTCTTTGAAAAGAGACAGAGAAGAATAAGAAGAAATAATGCTTAAGCAATCCTAAACTGATATTTCCTAACATATTAAAGTAAACCATCACAACCAAACAGAGAATAAATGTAAAATTGGATTCTGTTTATCCTCAGTGTCTTGGAATGATTCAATTAGAGAAGTATTAACTTCTGTTTGTTGGCTGTTTCCTACAAAGTCATAATTTGGCTGCGTAGAGCTTCAAAGTTCTTCAAAGCTTTTAGATTTAGTTTGAATGGTTCAACTGCATCACTCTTTTCTTTCTCTATTTGAGCAGGTACCATTGCTTGGTGGAGCATTTTGTGCTTGCACATGGCATTTTTTCTACAATTCTGAGTCTCTCGAGGTACACAGAGTTTCAGTTTTTGCAAGATTTTGCTGGACATAATGAAAGAACTAATAGTGTTTAACAGCCTAGCCTAGCCTAAGTCCACCGCCAGTATATATCATCTTCTTTGGGTTTTCCCGCACGATTTTTAAAACTCGTCTGTTAGGGAGAGGTTTCCACACTCTTATAAAGAATACTCTGTTCCCCTCTTCAACTGATATAGGATCTCACAATCCACCCCCTTTGGGGCCCAACATCCTCGCGGACACTCGTTCCCCTCTCCAATCGACGTGGGACCCCCAGTCCACCGCCCTTCGGGGCTAGCATTCTTGCTAGCACACCGTGTGGTGTCCACCCCCCTTCAGGGTTTAGCCTCCTCGCTGACATATTGACTAATGTTTGACTCTGATATCATTTGTAAGGGCCCAGGCCCACCGCTAGCAGATATTGTTCTGTTTGGGCTTTCTCTTTTGGACTTTCCCTCAAGGTTTTTAAAACGTGCCTGCTAGGGAGAGATCTCCACACCCTTATAAAGAATGTTTTGTTCCCTTCTCCAATCGATGTGAGATAGTCACCCCTTTAGGGTTCAGCCTCCTCGCTGGCATATTGACCAATGTTTGACTCTGATACCATTTGTAACGGCCCAAGCCCACCGCTAGCAGATATTGTTCTCTTTGGGCTTTCTCTTTTGGACTTTCCTTCCAGGTTTTTAAAACGTGCCTGCTAGGGAGAGATCTCCACACCCTTATAAAAAATGTTTTGTTCCTTCTCCAACCGATGTGAGATAGTCATACAAAGTTTTATTCTAGTTCTTTATGATAGTGATTTGTTGAAGTTTTGAAACTACTAAAAGATCCACCTAGCCGAAATAGTTTTCTGTCATTAGTATATTAGCCTCTTTCAATTATTCTCATTATGGATAATTCAGACCATCACTTTTTTAGCTGATTAATCTCTTCAAATGTAGTCCTAAAACAAACCATCGATTAGGAAACTCTGCAGATTGCCCAATTTAGTCCAACTGAATCATATGAACACTGCTCTGGTACTGATATTTAGAGGGGTAATACAATGGTCCAAGTGAGAATTCAATATCTCCCGAATCTCTCTCAAAACCAGACCGTAACAAAATATCTGAAGGATGCCTCCCTTCCTACACGTATATCTATACTGTTCTTAATTGGGAGCCTATCATTCAAGTCCATCGGTTTTCAATTCAAACTTTGAATTCTGAGATCATAAGAGAATCAACTCCTTACTGCCTGTTCTGTTATCAGTCAGGACTCTGAGATCCCATTTATATCTTTTAAATTTGTTAACTAATCATTTTCTTTTAGTTTACTACAATACTTCGGTTCCCTCGTTCCCTTTCACTTTCAGTCAAGTATTGAAGCTGGCATGGATGTCCTTATGTTCTGAATTTTTCATGGTGCACTTATCCAAATGGGTTAATACCTGCTAGATGCCAATATTGTCTTTTCTGGGTTTTTCCTTTAGAGCTTCCTCTCAAGGTTTTTAAAACGGGTCTGTTAGGGAAAAATTTTCACACCTTTATGAAGAATGTTTTGTTCTCCTCTCCAACCGATATGAGATCTCACAATCCACCCCCCTTTGTCGGGGGCCAGCGTCCTTGCATCACCACCTTGTGTCCATCCCCTTTGGGGCTCGACCTCACCTTGGAAAGGTTACGGAAAAACCAAAACCCCCTCCCTCTCAAAGTTGATAAGGTTGTAGGGAAATTGACATTGGTTGGGGTTTGTTTGTTGAAAAGGACACAAAATGACATGGAATTGGTGCTTTGAGTGCAGGTTTTGGTGGCCCTTCAGGCAATACTGACGGCTGTAGGAAATGCCACAATGTGCATTGCTGCATTTCGCATATACAAAGCATCACAAGAACGTTCAAGTAAGTTGTAAAGAAACCATATAATATAACTCAACCTAGTAGGGATTTGATAGTGAACCCCAATGGTGAGGTTAGAAATGTGAAGGACAAACCAATGTTTGGTCATTGCTGTCAATGTCACAGCACATATTGGGTTGAAAAGTCAAATAATTTGGTTTCTATTTTCATTTACCCTTTTGGTGAATGGTCAATTTTTATTTTCATTTACCCAACCACCTCCCTCCCCCTCCCTCTCTCTCTCTCAAACAATTCCATCTATTTTTTTTATTTCAATAAATTTCATTTAATATTTTTAAAAATATCTATGTACATTTTGCACAAAAAAAATTATTATTACGTTAGGCATTGTATTGTACTCGACTCTACTCATGCAAAATAACGTCATTATTGTATTTTCATTCAATAATTTATTAAGAAATTAACTTTTTATTGTGCTTTATTATTTTTTTAAATACTTTTTATTTAATTTTTAGTTACATTTACATAATGGTTAATTATAGTCATGAAATATGATGATGGACTCTCTTTTCGTCTAGAGCTAAGTTTTTTTGTATTTCTATATAATTTAGGTTGCCTATTCAAAGTTATTGAAATTCGAGATTCGAACCTCAACCAAACTAACATCGGTTAAATATTTAGATCTAAAAATTGTGATTGGAAATAAAATCACCGAATCAAATGAGTGCGGTTGGTTGGAGGAAATTTGGATAAAAATAAAACGACATAATTAGGGTGGCTACAGCCTAATTTGGATAAATTATAATATTAATAAAGGAATAATTTCGACAAAGGAAACTAAAATAAATAAATAAAATCAAAGTGGGGCCCACGTATTCAACGCTGTGGATCATTCCATGTTTCTTGGCTTTTGGCACTGTCCAAAGGCTCTCTTTTTTTATTTTATTTTATTATTATCCTCAAAACAATATTACTTTTTTTTTTTTTTTTTTTTTTTAATGTCAAACCAAAACATTTGGAAACCTCGTTTACTCAACAAGATTATAAGTGATAGAAAATCATATTTTGAATTAAAAATTATTCTATTTGAATTCATCAAATACTTTATAAAATTAAATTTTCTTTTTAAGTTAAATGATAATTAATTGATTAAAATTAATTAAATATTGTTAAACTCGGCTTAAGAGTCGTTTCATCTTTTAATATATGTTTTCATATAGCACCAACGTTTAGGACATTTGGCTACTACTACTACTCCTGTCTCAACCCAGTATTAAGTCTAATCTATATAGGGTTAGTCGATGTGGCAATTGAGATTATTTGGGTTATTTCAATGATGAAAGAACTTGTTTTTTTCTACCATCTACAAGTATACATAGGTTGGATTCGAAAAACTTGTTTGACCAACTTGAAAGTTCGGGTTAGTTGGATTCGTAACTTGACCAATTTGAATAGAGTTCATAATCCAACCTTGAACCGTCAAGTTGTTTTTTTTTTAATTATTTAAAAAAAATCATATTTGTCCACAACACATGTTATGCTAAGAAATAGAACCTCGTAAAGTTCAAATATCAAATATTCACAACTCACAATGCACAATTAACATCAATTACAAACGTTAAATGTTTCTAATCTTCACATTGCGTTCTATAATTTTTTTTTTAAATAATTTGTTTTCTATTGAGCTATATTCATGTTGGCGATTAAACATTTTGTTCTATTACATCAATAATATATATACGTTGATATTTGAGATGGTTACAAAGAAAAAAACAAGGATAAAATTAGACAATCAAATAATATTCGTTCCAAAAAGTTTGTCTTAACTTATTATGTGTCATTTGCTAGCGATTAATTAAACCTTAACCGATTTATATTTTTATTTATGAATCTAGTTGACTTAATGATTTTCAATTTTTAGAATATGGTTTATAAAATAAATTCGAATGTTTATATGACTTGAAAATTCGACTAATTCCGACTATCCAACCCAAACCAGGTCATAAAGATTGAGTTGAGTTAGATTTTTTTTTTTCTAGTTTAGGATTGGGTTGAATTCTTCGAAAATAAAAAATTTGGTTTGGTCAACCACAACAATAAAGTTACGATTCAACCCTACAATTCGACAGTTCAATCCAACCCAACATAAAAATAGACGGCTAGATTGAGTTAAGTTGTGAACTTTGTTCGGGTTGTTTAAGACACCAATCTAACCAAAGATTTCTCCGATCAAACCTAAAACAAAAGGAATCATATTATATATATATATATATATATATATATATATATAATAATGTAATGATTAGAAATACAACACAAACAAAAACACAAAATCAAAGTGACAACAAAGTTAGTGTACTCTTTTGGCGTATTATTTGTTTCTTATCAGCTATTATATTAATTAAACCTTTAAAAAAAAATCAATTTTTAATAATAAAATGTAGCCCTAATATAGTTTTATTTAATTTTTTTAAATATATATATACACCATGGTTAATATATTATAATATTGGTTAAAAAGTTATTTTTATTTATTTATATATTGGAAACAGTTTTAACTGTAAACAGTTACTCTGGTGGACGGAGGGGGCAGTTTTTTTTTTGCAGTGATGCCACGTCATTGGCGGTGGGGGGGGCAAAATTAGCCGCCAACTTAGGAACGTGATTTCTGACATACCTTGCACGTGATTTCTCAGACAACTCCAACTCCCCTATGGGCCCCACTGCTTCCTCTTTTTAATATACATATTTAACTAATAATAACAATAATCGTAAATTTTAAGACAACAGAATCTTTAAAAAAACTTATAAAGTTGGTGTTTAAAATAAACCAAATTCATTAAAATATCTTTAAATTTTTTATTCACCTATAAATTTTAAAATTTTTAACATAATACCCTTCCAATTTTAGAAAAATTTAACGTATTTTAAATAGTCTTATTAATACCCTCTATTTTTTAAAAAAATATTTAAAATAAAGTAATTTTAAATTTTAAAAATAAAAGATCATTCATGAAAGTTTTGAAAAATCAATAATATTTTTTAAAATTTAGAGGTATTATTTTTTAATTTTTTTTTTAGTTTAAGGATATTTTTTAATTTTTTAAAAATTGAATATTTTTTTTATAGATAAATGGTATATTTAAGGGTATTTTTTATAATTAATTTGGTGTTTAAAATATTTATGAAATTAAAAAAGGGTATATATTTAAAAATATAAAATAAAATTTAAATTTCAAAGTATTTTCTAAAAAAAAATGAAAATTTAAATTTAAGAAAAATAGTCGAACAAAACAATATATGTCGCCCAAAAAAAGAACAATAATAACAGAATTTTCCTTTTTTCTGCTGACCGTTATTTTTATTATAGACGTCTCCCATCCTTTATTCAATTAATTACAAATATAAATAAATAAAATGGCCAATAATTAATATTTATTTTTCACTTCCAATATTTATGCCCAATTTATTCAATTTTCATTTTCATTTACTACCACCAATAATATTTATTCCAATTATTGTAATAAAAATATTTTTAGGTATAATTTTTTTTTTCATGCTTTCGTTGAGTTCTATTTGTTCGACTTCAGCTCCACGTCAAATCAACTTGAAATATAAGCATAATTCATCCTGCACGAGCAATAGTTTAATAGTCAAGTCAATTAATTTGAAACATGATGGGTCGTGTAAGGGTATCATAAATGGAACGACAATGAAATATAATTTTTTTATTTTTTTTTATTTTTTTTGAAATAATGGGTTTAATAAATAATTAAGACAGCATAATTGGGAGAAAAAGGGAATTAATTATTAATATAAATTTCAATTGATTAGGAGCTGTTGTGAGGCAGGCCGGGGAGATGGGTTGTTTCCTTAGGCAAGCGTGCTTTCCACTACCCACGTCACTTCTACTTCCCCCTATTAATTATTATTTATAATCACTCATTTACCATTTTGCCCCTATGGGACTTTTGGACTTGAATTTACTTATTTACCCTTTTCTTTCTACTAATTGGGGGGCAACCATGGACATGTGGGGAAAAGGTTGTTCCCATGTTGGTGCAAAATGTCATCCAATTCTTGTTTAGAGATGTTGTGTGTTGTTTAAAAATGTTCATTTAATTGAGTTCTCGCTTTGAACGGGATGGAGAATTTCTATTTTGAAGAGATTTCTTTCCGTTAACTGAATGAAGTTATAGACAAAGATTATATTCTCCGTCCCACTCGAGATCTTGCCTGAGACGAGGATTATATTTTTTTTAGGGTTTTTTTAATTTATTTTTAATTAAATTTAAATTTAAAGCCAAATTTATAATTTTTTTAAAAAAAAAGGAAAAAAAAGGAAAAAAAAGATGCGAGTGAGTGGCACGTGCGGAGGCATAATTTTGGTCGGCAAAAACGGAGAGGCATTGTGTTTTCAGGTGGGTAGGACCACGTGCCAGCTGGACCGAACAACTCCGTTTCTCTTGGTGGTAGCTCCGGGAATACTATCGAGTCAATTGCAAGCAAACGTACACGTCATGAACTTACGTGGCATCCTTGCTGGACAGTCCAACTCCCACCAACAAAAATCAATGTTGTCTTGCACTAAAATTTAATTATTGAGGTGTAACCTTTATTTAATTATATTAATAATGTATTACGTAAATTAATATAACTTTGTTGGTTAACCCATTTCTAAATATGTATTTTTAAAAAAAACATATTTGGGAAAAAATTTAAATTTAAAAATCCAAATGTATAAATAATCTATTTTCATTTGACCCGAGAACTCGACCAACCTGATTACCCAACCCAAACCATAAATCTTGGGTTATGCTAGATTTTTTTCATTTTCGGGTGGATTAAATTTTTGGAAACTGAAAAAATTAGGTTAGTTCACGTATTTACATTTTTCTTGTCGAGCCAACCACACAAACCAAAAAATAGAGTTACTGTAACATTTGTGTGAGGCGTGAATATCTAATATTTGAATTTTATGAAATTTTAATTATTAATATAAATGTATTTTAAATAATAATAAAAAGAAACATCCGGACAACCCAACCTAACTAAAAGAAGAAGGTTGGATTGGAGATTTATTCGGGTTACTCGAATAACAAACGTTCAAGTTGGTCCAAATTTTTGTCAAATTATGGACAATTATTTTAAATAGAATATATTATTTGTTTTAATTCTAGTGGTTAAAACTTTTTTTTGTTGTGCCGGAAAAAGAAAATAAATTATTTAAAATTATTTAAAACGAATTAAAAATTGAAAAAATTAATGGACAGCAAAATGGGGTAGCAATTAGTCGTACAAAAAAGGAAAACAGGGGCAGCATAATCCGGGCAGGGTAAGGCCATTTATTATTCACTCCGCGGAGCGACTTCTCAGCTCCAGAAACAATTCCACGCAGACGGTAAACAGTTATTCGCCAAAAAGGAAAAAAAAAAAAAAAAAAAAAAGATTTTGAAGATTTGATACGATATTATATAATCATAAATGTTCATCCCAAGAGTACGGGTGGAGATATAAAGATCGAAGCGCAGGGAAAAGGGATTTGCAGGCCTTTTTCGGAACTGAAACAGCCACTGTTTCTTCCAGAGACGTTGTTTTTGGCGATTTTGTCTATGCCTTTTTTCTCAATTCCCTCGCGGAGATTTTTGAACACCACTTTGTTTTTTCTCTTTTGATTCTTAGTTTCACTCGGCCTTAGATCGTCCTTATCTGTCTCGGTTTCTTTGATTTCTCTTCGTCGCTATTTAAGCAACGGTTTGAAGTTGAAAAATCGCTGTGTCGATTTGAGTTTTTGAAGATGATGATGGAGGTGGAGTGGCCTTCTTGTCTTGATGAATACGAGAAGCTTGTTATTAGGATGAACACTCCCAGGTTTGTTCTTTAATTCCCCTGTTTTTTGTTTGAATTTCTTCGGTGATTCCTGATGATTCCCGGCGTTCTCTCCGAATTGGGGCTTATTTGTTTGTTCTTTATTCAGAGTTGTTATTGACAATGGCGCTTGCTCTACGGCCACTTTGGTTAAGGTATGAAGATCTCCATTGAAACGCTCTGTTTTCTTGCGAAATTGTGTTTGATTCTGTGGCTGAAACTTCTCTTTCCGTGGGTTTGTTTTTGATTTTAAGGTTGATAGTGCTAGAAGATATGGAAATCTCTTGGAGGCTGTACAGATTCTTACTGATTTGAACCTTTCAATCAAGAAGGCTTATGTTTCTTCAGATGGAAGATGGTTCATGGATGGTAAGAAATAAGATTATGAACATGAACAGCTTAATTTTGCTCGTTGCTTCTGCCTTTTGAATGTTTTCTTATGGTTGTTTGTCCTGATTTCATTGCAGTGTTTCATGTTACTGATAAAAACGGTGAGAAATTAACCGATGAGAGCGTAATTAGCTACCTCGAGCAGGTGATTAGTAGTTGATTAATTCATTATTGATTGAATTCTCACGATGAACATTAGGTGTTGTTTCGTTGTGAGCTGAAATTGTTAACATTCTGATGCTTGTTTGTTTATGATGGAAACTCATTAATGGATCTCGGGTGTTTGTTTTATTTGGCAGTCGCTTGGGATGACTAATTATCGGAGCAGCGAAGGGTTTAACGGCACCACCACGGCGTTGGAGCTCACTGGGACCGACCGTGTTGGTCTTCTTTCGGAGGTGTTTGCTGTTCTAGCTGATCTGCAATGTGATGTGGTGGAGGCTAAGGTTTGGACTCACAGTGGCAGGATTGCTTCCTTGATCTATGTCAAGGACTGCAACTCAGGTTCTCCTATTGAAGACCGACAGAAAATCGATATCATTGTTGCACGGTTGAGGAGTGTTCTTAAGGGAGACAATGACATTCGTAGTGCCAAGACTTCGGTATCGATGGCAGTCACACACCCCGAAAGGAGACTGCATCAAATGATGTTTGCTGACCGTGATTACGAGAGGAAGCCTATCTTCAAGTCGAATGCCAACAATTCCCCCGCTGTAACGGTTCAGAACTGCACCGAGCGAGGTTACTCGGTTGTGTATGTTCAATGCAAGGATCGAACAAAACTTTTGTTCGATGTGATATTCACCTTGACAGACATGGAATATGTTGTGTTTCATGCCACAATCAACACTGCAGAAGAAAGAGCATATCTGGTATATGTCATTCTCCACGCTTGAGAGTTCAAACTAACCATTTTCGGTTCGGTTTTTGTATCTTATGGTAACGTTTTCGGTTCGGTTTTTACAGGAATTCTACATTAGGCACAGTGATGGAACCCCAATTAGCTCCGAAGCCGAACGACAGCGAGTTATTCAATGCTTAAAAGCTGCAATTCAAAGAAGAGCATCTGAGGTAAATATTGATTTTGTTTTCTTTCTTATCATTCTTCCCAACCCCAAGCTGATTAACATTGTCTATTGCAGGGTGTGAAGCTAGAACTATGCACAACAGACAGGCCAGGCCTTTTAGCCGACGTGACAAGGACATTTCGAGAGAACGGTCTAAACGTAACGAGAGCTGAGATCTCCACCACAGATGACATGGTTCTAAATACATTCTACGTGACCGATGCAATGGGAAGTGCAGCTGATCCAAAAATCATCGAGTCCGTTAGACAAAGGATCGGATTGAGTAACTTGATAGTGAAGGAACTCCCTTCGAGTTATCATCAAACAATAGAGAGGGAAGAACAGACGCACGGAGTTGGCGGGGCTGTGTTGTTTACTCTTGGAAGCATGGTGAGGAGGAATTTATACAACCTAGGACTGATCAAATCATGTTCGTGAAAGAGTTGGGTTCGATTCGATTCAAAAGAAAAGCCATTGAGAGAAGGATTGAGAAGTATTGTTTGCTTCCTCTGGTTATACGAGTCTGTGTATACAAAGAATTTAGATAAAAGAAAGGAGAAAAGGTTGGTTTTAGGGATAGTTTGGTTTATTTTAGTTTCTTAGGAACATATTTTTTGAAAGCTTAGAAGATTGGGTTTGTTGATGCACAATCACAGAGAGATTATTTTTTAGTACACATTTCATCATAGTCATGTAAATACCAAATTTTATATTAAAAAATAAATGTCTTTTAATCGACCCATTTCCATTGGTCACCTCGATGATTCAAGCTGTCCTTTTGATTATAACTATGGGATCAGGCCCGACCAATGTTCTCCTTTCTCATTCTGAAAACGTGGAATGCTCAATGTGACACGTAACTGGAAAGACAAATCTTAACGGGGGAAAGAGCTAACTTAACCTTCACGTGACAATAATAATTTTAAAGCTATAATAGGAAAAGATCGAACATATCAATTATATATTTTTATTTCTTCCATTGAAAAACACAAGGTCCTAGCTTAGAAACTTTCTTCTTGGCATGTCTCATGCAGCTTAAGTTTTAATTATTCATATTTTTTTGCATCTAATGTCAACTCCTACTAGTTGACTTTTCATTTTTCAACCCCTATTTTACTTTATACATATATAATCATTTATCAAAACTAAAAATGAAAAATTCTATAACTTTCTATTCTATGCTACATTAAGTTCCATAAATGCCTTTTAATAAATTAAAATTAAAAAAAAAATGGAATCCAATGTTTTGTGATATATTTAAATATTAGTAGAGATAATTTTATTTATTTAATTTTCAATTTCATGTTAGAATATAGTTTTAACCCTTATATTTTACCTTTTATAATTAATTAACCTTTAAAAATATACAAAACAAATTAAAAAAAATATTATAAGTAATAATTCAGGCCTTTGAAACAAAAATTAAGAATATAAAAAAGCTAAATAATTATAGAATATATTGGTAAAAAGTTATTAACAATAAAAACACATGGCAATAATATTTAGAACATATTAATAAATTATCTTTTAAGCATTTATTCATTTGCTTTTTTGGAATTTTTGAAATAAAATTAATACCTTCAAGTTAAATTACCCTTTTAAATAATAAAGTAACATGCCATTTATAACTAAAATATATTCCAACTTTAATTGAAATAATACACTTTTAAACTTTGGATAAATAATTTTTAAAGAAAAAAAAGCATCTGGTTTGGATTGGATTCAAAGCCAAAATAATGAAGTGGGTATGATAGACTCATATGAATAAAGCAAGCATTTACCTTTTGTACCCACCTCATTATTTTGGCTTTGAATCTAATCCAAACTTGTAAACCCATTAACCTTCCTTCATATATTAGTGCTAAGTGTGTATCGACGATGTCTTGAATTACATATCGTCACGTGGAGTTAGGTAAAAAGACTAATAAATTGGTTCAATTTTGTAAAATGGGAAATAACTCTATGGAGTCCGTTTATAAGAAATGCTGGTCAAAATTGTACTTGGATAATGTGAATAGTTTACCACTTCATTACATTTATTGTCTTATAGCGGACTGCTTCCGCATGCATGATTTTGTGAACTCTCGTACATAATTGGACTTTATGCTTCACTTAGTAAATATGTTATATTTCTTTATTTATTGTTACACATTGATTTAGGGTTTTGGATAGCTTGTTGTTGCTAGTTTTGCCCAGTTATTAGTTGGACTAATTGTTATGTGTCATATTTTGGTCCTAGCACTTAGTCATGAGTTCCATAGTCTCCTTGGGTTGGCTAGGTACCTTGTAGGGCGGATAGGGTACAACCCTTTTTCGTGAACTAACCAACAAAGATTAGGGTCTACTTGTTACACATGACTTAGTTGTCACTCATAGAGGATATTAGTAGCCACAGAGAGTATACTATTGCAGTTCAAATCGATGGTGTCTAGTGGGGAGAGCCATGGTTTCTTTACTGATCCAACCCGAGTGACGTAGTGATAGGTAATTTACTATTCGAGCTAGAAAATGCGAAGTAACATGTAGTTTTACTGTTCTAACCCAAGAGGGTACATGAGCAGATAGTTATTGTTCCAACATGGAATGAGCATAATGACAAATAGTTTACTGATCTTAGGGATAAAGATGTTGCTCGACACCAATAGAGCTCCATAGGTAGATAGGTATGGAACGGAATCACTATGTAAAGCAAAAAATGGCTCATCTATATTGACGAGCATTACCATAGGGCCTTTTCATGGAGTCACAGTGACTCGAGGCGCTCTTCGCGTAAGACCGATGAAGGACCTAGACATACATGAAAGCTATAGTCTAAGAGAAAGTAAAAAACTCATGGGTTGTGAACCTAGGAGGGATTGAGAACTCCTTGAAAGAGGTATACGGAGAGTTAGTTACACATTGAACTATAAAGTTTGGTACAAACATTAAATCGACATTAAGGAGTGTTTGTATACTTAGCTAGGGGTGTATACTTAGCTCTATATTTTCGTTTTTCAAAGTTTGCCATCAATTTTGCGCTAATTGTGTGTGAGTCAAATTGCCTTTGTACTGGACCATCGAGTAAGTCTCATGTGTATGAGGTAAGCCACGATCTATGGATAGACAAATACTTCAACAGCATGTCCCCCATAAGTATACGTCTACTGGGTGCCCCCCATTAATATACCCAATACGACTCCTAGGATCCTTTGTGGGCAACCACTAAACTTTGTATAACAAGTAGATCCTAACCGTCCTAGGAAAGTTCACAATTAAGGGTTACTCCCCAATTATCTGTACCCGACATACCTATGGGACCTAAATGTAGGTTCTATGGCAAAGGAAATGTGATTCATATATCTTTTGGGGGCATACGTGAGTCTTTAGCATGCTCCTCCGAGTATTTCATACATATATAAATGTCTAACATGCTCAAACAAACGTTTAACAATCATACAAGACATGCTCTGAGTCCTAAAATATGTTTGGACTAATTAAGGAAGCCCCTAAGCTTTGGACCTCTCTTAGGTGCAGATTGATTTAATCAATTAGGATCCAAAGACGACCTTTGAGTTAGAAACCCTTAGCTTTCCTCTACGTTCTTGGTGTAAGTTAAGTTATTAAATTAAAGTCCTAGTTGTTCTTGAGACTAGGATTCACAGATTGTAAGTTGTAACTTGTTTGTTTGGACATAAAAACCAGTTAAGTGACTTTACTGCTGCTATGCCAAGTGCTGAGATGGGAATTCGTGAGCTGACTGAAATGCTATGTTACAAATGAAAAACATGATGAAAAATGCTCATCGTTCGTTATTTTCTTTCTCCTTTTGTAAGTTTGAAGGTGTACATTTTGATTCTCTTGTTTCAACTTCGATTTCATTGATTTAATTATGCTCTTCTGATGCCCACTTCCTATTGTGCATGATATTATAGGTTGATTATTCAGCATTGTTTTGGGTTTGGTCCAAATTAGATATTATAGGTTCACATACTTCCTATTGTGCATGGTATTCGTGATCGTTCGTTTTTGAACTTACAAATATCTAATTGTAGTTCAAGTTTTTTTTTAAGCTTACCACCGTTTATTCAATCTTTCTGTTCTTGTGTTTTATAGATTGATGATGATGAGAAGGTCACAATGATCGATTTTCCACAAATGGTTTCTGTCTCGCATCGTAATGCACAAATGTAAGAAGTGCAATATGGAGATTCTATTTTGAATCAAATATTGATTTTTCGGGTTACAATGTTTCTCGTATCATATGAATCCTAAAGTTCATGTTTCTATTAGCTTATGCTTTACGTGACGATCTTTTTAAGTTTCGTTTTTCAATTTCAGGTATTTTGATCGTGATGTTGAATGCATCTTCAAATTTTTTAGGAAAAGGTCAGTGATGTTGTAAGAAACAATAAGAATATTTGATGTTACAAGAAGTTGAAGCTTTCATGTTACATACTTCTCATGGAATTTCTCTTCAGCTAATTTGCATGCAAGATTGAAAATTCTAAAGAACAATATAATACTGCTTTTCGAGATCGTGCAGTTATGGTCTCTGTGTTCTGGTTGCAACTTTTTACGTTCCGTTCTTAACTGGAGTTGGTTAGCATCACGAGCTACACGATTTGTGAGGTGTAGATTAAATCGTAGCAAGTTTAATCGAAGTATGTGAACAACATGTTAGAACTCGACTAGTAGGTTTGCATGTTATCTTGAGGTGTAGCACATTATTGATATGCTAAAGACTTTCAGTTCCTTTCTCTTACAGGTTTAACATGTCATTCCATGAGACTGTGGATGACGAAAATGATGTAGAGATCGACAATGATGAAGGTGCGAGGCCTTGCTTTTCTTCGATATCAAAAGGTGCTGGAAGTCTAGACAAGGAGCTTGCTGCCAGTGGTTTCACACTAAAGGATCAGGAAGACATTGAAAAGGTATAGAAAACCATTTGGACTTAATTGGTTAACCAGTTCATTCTAAACTTATTGGCGATTGTACGACATGCAGTTTTTTGAAGGTGGAATCGAGGGAGATGCAGATTCAGGCGATGAAGAAGCTGAAAGCTTCAAGTTTGATGAAATGGACACCAATGTGGTGGAACAACATCTACACATGTCAGACGAGGTATTCATTTTATCATTTTGATTCCAACGGATCTAATCATATCATTTTATCATTTTGATTCGAACGGATCTAATCATAGTTCAAAATTTAGGATCATCTTTGTAACAGCCCGTTCTTCCTTGGGCTTTCCCTTCCGGGTTTTCCCTTTTGGGCTTTCCCTTAAGGTTTTTAAAACGCGTCTGCTAGGGAGATGTTCCCACACCCTTATGAAATGTTTTGTTCTTCTCCCCACCGTTGTGGGGTCTCACAATCCACCCCCTCCCCCCTAGAGGCCAGCGCCCTCTCGTTGGTATTCGTTCCCTTCTCCAATTGATGTGAGACCTCTCAATCCACCCCCTTCGGGGCGCAACATCCTTGCTGGCACACCGCCTTGTGTCCACTCCTTCATGGCTCAGCCTCCTCGTTGGCGCATCGCCCGGTGTCTGGCTCCAATACCATCTGCTTGGTTGGAAGAATTATTTTATGTATGATGACATGTTTCCGTGACCCTTGCACGTGTCATGTATAATGTTATGCTATGATATGCTATGTTATACTATGATATGTTGTGTTATGCTAAGTGATGTGTTAAGATATGTCTATTCTACCGTATGCCAAGTAAAGCTATGTATGTTATGTTATGTCATGTGATGTTAAATTACTTGAACACGTTAAGTAGAGTTATGATACGTCATGCTATCATATATGAGTAAATAGATGAGTAGTTTACGTTAGGGGTTAATTTCGAGACTTGAACAATGGGACCCTACCTTTTCACTGGCTCGGGAGAGATTTAATTGATGATAAAATTGTTAAATAAAGTTGAGTAAAACTGATTTTGAAGTTATTAATTGAGATTTATTTTATGAAGGCTCTTAATTAATGATTTAATTTTTGTAATAATTTTAATTATTTCCGTTCTAATTTAACACAATAAAAAATTCAAATGTATGAGTACAATACCCTAATTTTGACTTGGACCAAGTCAAAATTTTCAATTATTGACAAAAATAAAAATAAAAATAATAATAATAAAAAAACTTCTCCCACATTGATTTGACGAGTTGAACAACCTTAAATTAATCATAGGTGTATCAAATGATATTAAAATTTAAAATTAATTATCTTAATATAATTCACTTAAATGTAATTTACTCACATTAAATCTCCAAATTAGCTCATTCAAATTCAAATTAATCACCTAAAATTAAAATAATTTATCTAAAAAAAAGAGTAGAACATTGCCTTTATTTCTATTTCCTTATTCATATTATTTTACCCTTAATTTATTTAAGTTGAAAATACAAATAAACACCCATTTATTAATAAATAAACAATTTTAAAACATTCACACGAGGGGCAAAATTGGCAAAAAAAAAAAAAAAGTTATTTCAACCATATAAATTATAATAAGCCTTTAATAAAATAAAAAATTAAAATTGTGTGAAATTACCAAAATACCCATTTTTAAAGGATGATTCATGACAAAAAGTTAGTCAATGCATAAATTATGTTACAAATATTTTATTCTGATTTATTATTTTCAAGAAATTAGATTAAAAAAAGTGAAAAGTATAATACATATTATAATGTAAACCATTATTAGTTGTGGAAAAAACAAATAAAAAAAGAAAAGAAAATGGTGTAAATGTGCATTGAAATTCTCACCCATATGCTAATGCTATTAAAATTTTCAAAAATTAATTAATTAATTAAATAAATAAATAAATAAAATAAAAAACTCTTTGGTTCTTATCTCTACTTTGTTTTATCTTAATGCCTTTTTTGGACTAAAATATTAAATTTAATTTTTTAAAACAAGATGCTTTCTAAGTTTTTTATGCAATTACTTGGTCAATTATTATTATTATATATTTATAATAATTTTTTTATAATTTTGTATTTGAAGATGATGGAGGAGGAAACAAGTGGGTACAAAAATAATAATTAAAATATTTCAATATTCAAAAAGACCAAACAGTAAAAAAAATATTTTTGAGTAAATAAATAAATTTACTTTTATAATTTTTTTATTACAAAAAGACAGCTGATTCCATACAAAACCCTAATTATTAAATTATTTTATCATGCTTTAAATATTACAAGAATTGAATTTCTTCCTCTCTCTCTCTCTCTCATGATTTAACTATTATTAAAATTTTAAATCTTACTTTACACCCTAAACCCTAACCATTAAAAATTTATTTTAATTATTAAATTTTGTATTTACATAAAGTTATTTTAATCATATAATTCAATTTTTTTTTTTTTAATTATTGAACCAGATCTATATTCATTTAAAAATAACGCTCTGTAATTTAAGTAGTTAAGGTTCTCTTAGAAATAATTTATTTAAAAATTAATTGCAAATAATAAAACAATTTATATTAAAATTAAATCTCTCTGTTTTTGGTCATAAATTGTGATAGCAAAGCACGGAGGAGAGGTTTGAGTGGAACACTCTCAGTGTTTTTCTTTGCAGGTGAAATCATAATCCCTCCATTAATGGAGCTTCTAATTTCTTCTCTTTTAATTTTTAATTTTTTTTTATTGTGTTCGGAGGAATTGAGGTTGGAAAAGAAATGGGGTTTTGTTTTGATTACAGAAAATTCTGTATGGAGGTACGAGAAGGGGATGCCGGAAATGGGGTTACGGCGTCGGCTGAGTCAGATCCTTTAAGACCCGACACGACGGCTCCGGTACCGGAAGGTGGTGGTCCTGTAGGTTCTGCGGCTGTGGCGGCGAAGAAGAAGAGGGGGAGGCCGAGGAAGTATGGGCCGGATGGAAAGTTGAATGTGGCGGCGCTGTCACGGAAGACAATATCAGGGTCGGCGGCACTAGCACTGGTAGTGGCACCGGCGGCGGTGATTGATTTCTCGGCTGCAAAACGGGGGAAAGTGCGGCCGGCGAGTTGGTTGAGCAAAACCAAATATGAAGCAGAGAGTTTAGGTAATGAAATTTGATTTAATCTTCGGTTCACTTTCAGCATAACCTCCTCTTAATCGAGATTGCGTTTAGGGCATAGTTCGATACTATGTTAGTTGAACACGACCCTCTACAATGATATGATATTGTTCCCTTTAAGTATAAGTTCTGGTGACTTTGTTTTGGACTCTTTCAAATGTCAGATAATATTCTTGGATTATAAACCAGGATCATTCCTAAGCTTTTATCCGGTCCACCTAATTTTGAATGTAGGACACAAATGAGTTTAAAATAAATGAAAGTAGTGTGCGATTTGGGTTGTGAGATAGAAACTGAGTGCGATAGAAACGTTTGCGATAAATGATTACAGGGAAGAATGAAGCACTCAGTTTAGAAACGTTTTTATAGCAAACGAGTTTGTGTGCGATTTGAGTTGTTACTAATCATTAAATTGAAAATTATAGAAGTTATTAGGTATTTTTAAAAAAATTAGAACTTAGGGCTAATAATAAATTTTGAATTTAAGCAAAGAAATTAAAAAAAAAAAAAAAGTGATTTTGATGTCATTAATTATTGACTTTGATTATTTTTGCTTTGGTAGCCGAATGGGTACCTTTCTCTGTTGGTGGTAATTTTACACCTCATATCATCACTGTCAACTCTGGTGAGGTAACTTAATTATGTTAATTTTTTAGGGTTTAAAAGGTTAATGTTACTTTTTATATTTCATATTTCGATGTAACGATCATATGTTTACTATGTCGTTTTAGGACTTAATGATGAAGATTCTCTCATTTTCTCAACAAGGGTCTCGAGCCATATGCATTCTCTCTGCTAATGGTGTGATTTCGAGCGTCACACTTCGTCAACCGAATTCTTCCGGAGGAACATTAACATATGAGGTTGTCCTTTTTTTCATTTTATAATTTGCAATTGTTTTAGGAAGTGCAAATATGATTATAGGTCAAAAGACTCCTTGTTCCTTCACAGGGTCGGTTCGAGATATTGTCGTTGTCAGGATCGTTCATGCCGAGTGACAATGCAGGAGCTAGGAGTCGAAATGGTGGAATGAGTGTTTCCTTAGCGAGCTCAGACGGACGTGTCTTTGGTGGTGGAGTTGTTGGTTTGTTAGTAGCTGCAAGTTCTATTCAAGTATAAATATCTCCTTTTCTATCGGCTTGTTTTATGATGAACACTTGTAAATTTCTTGAACCTAACAACTTTGGAAAATGTAGGTGGTAGTAGGAAGCTTTATATCTGGGAACCAACATGAACAAAAATCAAAGAAACCGAAACAAGACATGGTATTGCCAGTTTCAGCTCTTCCAATTTCCCCTGTTGAACTGAAGTCATACATAGCAACAACATCATCATTCCGTGCTGAAACTTGGTCACCTTTAGGGCTAGATTTGAGAAGTCAGCCAACGGATATGAACGTAAGTTAATTATTTTTTTAGTACCAAGATCTCTCTTCGTCTTCTCGTTCATCTTGTTTGATATTTCAAGCTCCTATGTCCTATTTTATTTATTTTTTTCCGGTTTATTATAGATATACGGGATCACATAATTTTGTACGTTATTTTTCTATTGCATGTACGTTTCTATAAAGTTGGTGTTAGGAGTAGGGGTTTTAGAGCCTTTTTCCGCCCAAAGGCTGCTACGCTAAACTAATAGTTTCGAAAGTAAATGGATCCTTATCATGGTCTTACGAATCTACAACTCCTTTTAACAAGCCCGACTCTACTTAAATCTAAAATAATATGCCAAAGAGGTTTTGATTCCTGTGTAGACACTGCAAGACCAATATATTTCATAGCAGCAGAACGAGTTCGATCCATTAGGTCGTACGATTTATTCGAAAAAGAAATGAGAGGCAAAAAAACATCTCTTTTGCATGGACACATTTAATAAAGACAAAATACACAATAATTTTATAAAAGAAAACGAGTCTTCATATGTAACAGATCTTGTTTGCTTTAACCCGTTACGTATCGTCTTCAGCCTCATAGTATGCGTGTACTAGGGAGAGGTTTCCACACTTTATAAGAAATGTTTCGTTTCCTCTACTTTGAACCGAAACTCACAAAGACATTATATCACCGACAATATAGTATGAACCTAAGACCTCTCTCGTTTTCCGTCGACATAAAACGGATAATGATGTTTAACACAAAAAAACAGCAAGGTTTTAAGTGGGGTTTCTTATAACCCAAGGCACACGGTTTTAAAAGAAAGTTGTTTGTTTAGGAAAAGTCTTTAAGGCCAAGATTATATATAAAACACTTCTTCCCTTATGTTAATGCAAGAACAATGGCTTCTATTTTACTTTAAATGACAAATCCTCCCTCATATTATGCTTCCAACCTTTCATTACTTCACAAACTCTCCTAATAATTTATTCCCAAAATACCCTCTACGTGAATAAAACGTCCATTTCATTTTTTAGGGCATCCATGATCTTTTAAAACTTTATGATAATCGAATTTTTATAGCAAGTTGTATCAAGTTATAAGGTATTACACTATAAATTGATGCATAAAACGCGTCTACGAGGGAAAATGTTTTCACACCCTAATAATAAATGTTTCGTTCGCCTCTCCAACCGATATGGGATCTCACAATCCACTCCCCTAGAGACTCAGTGTCCTCGCTGGAGATCCACCCCTTGAGAGCCAGCATCCTCACTGACACACCTCCCGGTGTCTAGCACTGTTACCGCCCAAGCCCACTATTAGCATTTTTAGATTTTCACTTCTAGGCTTCTCCTCAAGTTTTTATAACGCGTCTACTAGGGAGATATTTTCACACCCTTGTAAAAAAATGTTTTGTTCTCCTCTACGACTGACGTAAGATTTCACAATTATGGACTTGAATTCTTTTCCTCAATACTACTATGTACCTTAAAAAAAATATTCATAATTTAATAAATGAAAACTAATGATTGAGGGCAAAATAATAATTATAAAAACATTAGGGATCAATTTATAAACTTAGCGAAGTATAAATAGAAATAGGAGGAAGGGTTTGAGGAGGGGAGTGAATGGCAAAATGGGAATGAGAATTATGGTGGGATTGGTGGCTGTCATGGCGGCGGCGGCGGCGGCGGCGGTGGTTTTGTTGGCAACTTCAAAATCATCTCAAGTTTTTCTAAGTAGTAAGCTTCTTGGGAGTCCTCATTTCATGTTCTCAATCTTCAACTCTATAATTCTTCTCATAATTGTGACATACCATCGGCCACCACTTCATCAATCTCCCTATCATATACGAAAAGGGTCGTGCTACCTAGAGTCGTATCAAGGGTACTATACCCCTTGTCAAAACATTGAATTCTATGCTTGTGACGATGAACATGACAGTGACGATGAATATGAAGATGACAGTCAAAATGAGAAAGACGAAATCGAGCAATTAAATGAAGATGAAACCGAGCAATGTGATGAAGAAGATGAAGACGTTGATGATGAGGATGATACTGAGCGATGTGATGAAAAAGACAACGACGATGAACTGGAGAAGAGGATAGAAGAATTCATAGCTAAAGTGAACAAGCGATGGAGAGAAGAGAAGTTACGAGACAATTTGTTTAATCAATTTTGTTCGAGTAATGTTTGTATTTGAAATTAAATTGAAGTGATAAAAATTTATTATTTATGTTTTTTTGGTTTTAATAATAAAAAAAAAAATGATGTTTTTGTTGTTTAATTTGGTTTATTGGTTAAGTAAAATTATAACAATATTTAAAATCAATTTCAAATATCTATTTAAATTCATTTTATTTTTATTTAAATTAAAATGATAAAAGGGTATATTTTATTAATTTACCTTCTTTTTTTTACTTAGTTTTTGAGTTGCAGTCCTTTGAGCGTCCTCGTACGGATCTTCTTCTTCCTTCTTTTCTCGTCCGCTGAAGAACAAACACATCGGTAAGTTCATGCCACTGATTACGCCGATGCCTTATCTCGATCTAGGGTTTTGCGATGTTCTACTATGTATTCGTTTCTCCTAACTTAATTTTACGTTTTGATCGATTTCCTGGATAAATTTTGCTTTGACGTGCTCCGAAATCAGCATCCTTTTGTTTTATTCCCTTATGGAAGTTCAAATTTGTTCTTCTGGGCCACTTTTCGATGATAATCGAATCGGTTAGCCTCTGAGAATTCAATATTCTTGATTAATCACTTGGAAATCGGAATGTAGGGGCTTTCAGTTTTCGTTGCTTGCTGCTTCCCTTTGAGCGTGGACGTTTTGACATCATGGTTAATGCCATTAAAGGACTATTCATCTCCTGGTAATACTTCAAAGATAGATATCGATTTTTTGGGCTGCACTTTCTCTTGTTTGATTATTGAGTGAAATCTAGTTTTCTTCCGTTGGTTGTTTCATCTTCTCTTTGGAATTGTTTTGACATTTGAATAACACTGCTTCTTAGAGATTAGAAACTGCCATTGTGATATTTTCCATTAATCTTTGTGATAGCTATGACATTTGAAATGACAAAGCTTAGAAAGACTAGACTGTGATGTTGTCTTCTAATACTTGGGGTCATGTTCGCTTCTTCTTCTTCTTCTTCTTTTTTTAATCCCTATTTGCTTTGATGATCTCTTGAAACACTGGGACAGAGTCTTTGAGATTATTTTGACATTTGAATTGAGAAAGCTTCTTTAAATACTAGAAAGTTTTACTGTCATGTTGTCTACTTTGGAGTCATGTTGTCTACTTTGGAGTCATGTTCTACGTTTCTTTCATCCCTTTTTACTTGATGATCTCTTTTGGACACTGGGTTAGAGTGTGAGATCCCACGTCGGTTAGAGAAGGAACAAAGTATTCCTTATAAGGGTGTGGAAATCTCTCTCAAACCGACACGTTTTAAAACCTTGAGGGGAAGCCTAGAAGGGAAAGTCCAAAGAAGACAATATCTGCTAGCGGTGAGCTTGGACTGCTACAAATGGTATCAGAGCCAGATACCGAGCGGTGTGCCAGCAAGGGCGCTGGGTCCCAATGAGGGTGGATTGTGAGATCCCACATCGATTAGAGAGGGGAACGAAGCATTCCTTAGAAGGGTGTGAAAACCTCTCCCTAGCAAACTTGTTTTAAAACTTTGAGAGAAAGCTCGGAAGGGAAAGCTCAAAGAGGACAATATCTGCTAGCGGTGGGCATGAGTTGTTACATAGAGTCTTCAGAATTAGTATGGCATTGGAAACTACAGCGCTTTTGATTGACTAGAAACTGTCATAGTGATATTGTAGATTACTTGGGATCTTGTTCATTTCATTTCTTTTCTCCCTGTTTTCTTGATGATTTCTTATAAACACTGGGATAGATTCATTGGAATGTTGCTATGAGTTTTTGTTTCTCCTTGAATGTAAAGAGGTTTTGAAGAATTATGACCTTGGCAGATTCCTTGGTTCATAAAATTTGTTATTTGCAATTGTTTGCAAAGCTTAATATATGTTTGCAACTGCTATTACTTTTCTTTCCCATCTTGAATTGGGGATCCTTGATACAACTTTATCCTAGTTTTACTGAGGGAGTTTTAAACTGAAATTCTAGGGATTTTTTTTTTTTTTTTTCCTATTGAGATAAATTTTATTTTCTAAGAGAAATGATTTTCTTCCTTGGTGCAGTGACATACCTATGGGACAATTTATCATCAATTACAATGCTTCCCTACCTGCATCCCATAGATTTATCATCCATATTTTGGACAATACTCACATGTTTGTGCAACCCAATGTAGCTGATATGATTCGAAATGCCATGTCTGAATTTCGAGATCAGAATTCGTATGAGAAACCTACTTGAACCCCACTGCCCCTCACTGTGTTGGTAGTGAATGACTTTGAAGTTATAGATTTTACTTCTAAAACTTATCTTTCGTCCCAACTGTTTTACTTGTATTAGTGCAATATATCTCAACAAACTTGAAGATCTAGAGTGGTGGAGACTATGAGCTGCCATTGGTTCTCAATCTAAGGACTGATTTTGTTTTCATAAAATATTTGTGAATATTTGATAAGTTTGTGCGTACTTCGACTATGTTTAAATAACAATTGCTTGGCATACTATATTTGGTCATTAAGAAAATATGTAATGTTATATTATAGATAGATGATCATCATGACTTGCACTCATTTTCTCCGGGTCTTCTATTATTCACCATAAAGTCATTAGGTTAACCTAGAGGGGGCACTAAATTTGGTAGCTAGTTTTTTGCTTTGTTTTGCTTTTAAAATGAGTTCAACATGTTGTTAACTAGGTTTGATAAATTAGTTTTTGGGCTGTTCTTGTGGAAGGATTGAATGAACTTTCTGGAGCCCATAGCAAGAGTTAGTGAAAGAAAGTGTTCAATATTTTGATAAATTTCTGGTTGGTTTGATTTGATTGATCTTTTGACAAATGAAAATCAACATATTTTGATAAATTACGGTCTTGTTTTTCATTTTTGCCTTTTGATTTTTCCCTAACTATGAACATTTGTTCTGTAGTTTTTGAAAAGAGAGTTAAAAATGAAATCATAGTTTCTTTTGTTTAAATCTCAACAAAGAACACAGTTTGCAGAGCTAAACAAAATCAATCATTCGGTTCAATTTCTTAATTTTTTGTTACTATCTCCGGTAATTGTAATTAATATATGATATCACTTTAAGTTATGAAATATTTCACGTTATGTCATGAAGCACCATGTATTGTAATAAAAAAAGCTAGAAGACCATTTGATCGATGATATAATATCTTAATTAATAATCCTCAAATTGGCAATACAATTTTTTACCGATTCATCTATCCTTTCATATCCATAGTTGGACAAACATAATGCTCGCAAGTCAAATTTTGTCCAATATATGTTATTTCATCAACTAAACAACCTATGTTGCAAGAAAAATGTTCGAGCTTTTTTTTTTTTGTTCTAGATAACTAAATGTCATACTGGAGTGTTCATTTCCAGCTGCAAATGAAACATATTCATTAAGAATCAATCTCTTTTTCTTGTCTACAGAAAAAAACCCAAAAAAAAATGATCTCAAAGAAAATCACAAGAAATAATAAGTAAAGAATGTGAGTCTTAAACACTTGTTCCCTTTAGACTCAAATTCCTCCATAATTATAAATCGAGTTCATGGTCACATAGGAATTGCCATTGCCTAAAATGTCTGTGCTAGCTTGTGTGTGGGAGGGAGACATCATTCATCATAGTTATTTCAACCATGAAAAGTAACTAACAGAATGTATTGACAAGCCTGATTTGAAGTGGGGAAGGTGCAAATTAGAGCCAGTCAGCGCTAAACCTCTCTCCAAAATAGAACCCAAGTTCCTAGCCCAACAAGAATGTCATTGAAATCTGCAAGGTGCGGGAGCTTCAGAAAGAGATACTGAAGGGTAGAAATTAAACTCACAAGCCGTTAAGTTACAATCAACTGCATGCAAGCAATTATTTCTACTTATTCATCATCTTCCAAAGCATAATATATCATCCTGCAATCACAAATCAGGCAAACTCGGTCAGAGGCATTTAACATTAGAAAAGGCAACAAAACAATAACATGAAAAGGCTTTCCCATCTTGAAGTACCAAAATACAGATAGGAAGAGGAGGAAAACTAGATAGGCTAGTTTGAAAAGCCGTTGCTTCTTTTCCCAGTTTAGCATATTGAATATCTCTGTAACATCTATCAGGTGCTGTCTTCGTAGATACCTGATCACGACAAAAAACTGCTGAGTATAGTGATATGCATATCATATCAAGGTGTGTTTTAGGGGGACGGTAATTTTAGGAAAGCCATTTGGGGTAACTTCCAGGGTTATAATTAGGATAGTAAGAATGTACTAGTGCTTCCTTAGTTCTTTGAGATCAAAAGTTCAAATCCTCACACCATTCAAATCCTCACCCCACATTTATTATACTCAATTAGTAACGGAGTTGAGTTACAATTAAAAGAAGTGAAAAGGGATGGAGGTAGGGAATAGTTTAGTTGATTTAGGCTTGAAAATGCTCAAGAGGGATGTTCCAAGTACCTTAGATACTTGGACGTACTCGGAGAGTTAATTGTATTCCTATTCCTTTATCCTTCTATCTTATAATATAACTTCAAGTCTTTTATTTCTATCAAAATGCTGCGGAGCTGCAAACACGACCACCCAACTATACAGGTAACTGCGAACGCAATAGCTGGGAGGTGAATCACCAAAATATCATAATTGTCATAATGCTTACTTTTCCTTCAACTTTGAGCCAAAGAAGGATTCTTCCTTTGAATGGTGCCTTAACCACTCAATCCGACAGAGTCATGCCATAGTCCAATTCCAAACAACATAAATTGAGTAAACATTTTCATTCTTAGTTATATTTCAAAAACAAAAACAACTGTTCAAAAAATACTTTTAAATGGTATTATCAAGACATTTAGAAATAGTTTTATACTTGAGGATACAAACTAATAGACCTAAAATCCATAAGAAAACTTTATCCTTATTTTCCAAGAAACAGAAATGTTTATGGCCATAGAGAGGGACATGTCCTGGCCAACAAGATCCTGATTCTTTTGTTAGAAAGTGTGGACCAAGGGCTTTAGTGACCAAAGGCACTTTGAGAACAATGAGGACATGTTATATATATGATGAAAAAAGAAAAGGGGAATAGGAGCTCTCTCTTTCTTACCTTCCAAAACTCTCTAGAAATCTTTCAAAGACCCTGTTTGATGACCCATTTGACTTGGCTTTCGAAAAATATATAAAAGGTAGATAACAAAACCATGGAACTCATACGTAGAAACAGTATTAATAGGCTTAATGTTTTTTAAAGCAAATGATTGAAAGGCATAGTATATTAGTTTTTCAATCAATGAAGTTCTGCCACCATTCTACGCTACCACAAGCATTTTCAGAGATGGAAGCCAAGCAAGCTCCAACCCTATACCTTGTAAACACATCAAGGGTAAGTCATATTCCTTGGTCCAGTAAAATGTATTCTACTCAATTAGCACCGATGCATATTCTCCAAACTCCAAATGTACTCTACTTACAACCATGTATCAATATGATCTAAGCCTATCAAGCACCAGCAATTGTAAAATGGCCAAGTGTCAGACATGTCAACACGTGTTCAACACACTGTTTTGCGTGTCTATCATTCTTTTTTCCTTTCATTTTCCGACACGATGAGAACACACTTGGACACAGCTGGGGACACACAAAGACATGACTGACACACAAAGACATGACTGAGACAAGTGATGTTACAAATCTTCAAGTTTTAAGTCTTTTAAGCTCATTTAAAAAAAAGCACAATACCCAACAATTAAAGCCACACATATAAACCTCAAAATACTAAGGTTTCTTTTCAATATCTTCAAACCTTCAATTCACGATTGCATCCATGAAGTGGGGGAAAAAACTCACAGCTGCTCATCAATGACAACAACCAACAACCATTGTCAGTTGTTGTCAACTACCAGTGAAGAGGACAAAGATGGGGAAAATATGTAATCTGTAGAAGGATTGTTTTGTTTGATTCTACCTTGTAGTTTTTTTTACAAGACTTATTGGATATTGCATAATGTTGATGTTGTAGTCTTTTCTTTTTTTTGTGTGTGTGTGTGTGTGAGACTTACTGGATATTGTTGACATTGTTTGTTAATTGTTATCTTATCGTTGTCTATAAATGTTCTTTTGATGTTTAAAGATAGAAATTTATATTAAAAGTATTAGATATTCATAATATGTCCAAATATACACAAATGTATTTTTTAAAAATTAAAAATAACATTAACATGTTACCAACGAGTTATGTCCTACTTTTTTTTGGAAATCAACGTATTGCCATGTTCATGTTGTCTTGTATCTGTGTTGCATGGCCGTATTTGTGCGTCTTAGATCTAAGCTATGCCCTGACAGTAAGCCCAACCCTACAAGGTAGATCTAGCTTTGAGGACAATCATCAAATTTAACATCTGTCAAATCAATGGGAGGCTATGGTTTTTCTGAATGCTCAAAATCAGAAGCAAATAGCCTATATATTCATATTCATGCGTTTCTTTGGTTAAACAGTATAGTACATTACAAATCATGCAAAAACGCTTATCTCTAGGCATCTTTGTAACTTTGTGCATAAAAATTGTAACAGATATTACTTGATTTAGATAATAAGTTCAATTAAAGGTGAGGGATGAGAACACTTACATTCTCACATTGTAATATATGTAGGGCCCACAAAGTATTGACATACCCCAATGCCCCGTTAAAAGATAGAAGAGGCACAAAACTCCCATAGAAATGAACTCCGGAAAAATCACTTTATTAATTCGAGAAGCAGAGTCATAAGGGTTGATATAATCAAACTCGAGATCTGCCAAGCACATGAGCTACACAAAAGATAATGATAATAAATTACTAAACAAGAAGTTGATTTTTATCTTTCATACTTCAAATGTTCAAAGAGAAGCAATTGATTCGTTTAGTTACAAAAGGAAAACTCGATTTGAATAACTTCTAAATATAAATTTAAAATCTATGAATTGTTTCAATACAAGCTCACTACCAGCTTCTTTCAAATTGAGCTTCTACCAATAGATATTCTAACGATCAATATTAGAATACTCAAACTAAGAATCAGCCAACATGCTGTATTGATCCACGGTATCCATATCTATCACATCCATAAGCCAGAGGGGAGATGACCATATGTTCATAAATCTGAACTTTAATTGTCCTCATCATAACAAATGAGATCAAAACTTCAAGAAATTGGGGAAAAGCAATAAAAAGTTCAAATTATTAATACAAGAACACCAGAGAGCATGGAAAAAAGTTAATAATTCGACGTGAAATCCGAAGAAAGTAATAATAACAACAAGTAAACAAACAAAAAACAAGGATTGACAGCCGCTACTGGAACACTCAATACAAATCTAATCCAAGGTGCACTCGAGATTTACGCTTTCTATAAAAGTACTTCCAAATTGACAAGCGAAGACGAATATGTGAACATAATTGTGCAAAACACTAATCCCTCCGAGCTGAACAAAACGTGAATCGAAATACTAATTTACTTCAAATTAACGATCAGAAATGGTAAGCAATGTATCCGCCTACGAAATTTTGACATAAACCGTCTTTGATTCAAACAGATTCTACTTTACCAACTTGAACTGAAGATAATTCGAGAAAAACAGACGAGATAGGGTTTCAAATTTACCTGATATATAAGGACAATCAGAAGAGCTATGAGAAAGAAGAATGAAACGAGCCACACATATAGATCCCCCATGCTACTCCTCTCCTCTTCCGCTGTCTCAGGCTATATTACCAGTGATTTTTGGTTAAAGGCGAACAGAGTGATTGAAGCAACACCATTTCCGAGCAAGATGGCAGCTGAGTGAAGATGCAGTAGAGAGAGATTAGGGCTGAACTGGAAAGTGGGTTAGGATGACCGGAAGAACTCGACGTTGCCGAACGCCGTCGCCGATCGGTTAGCGAGTCAAATTTCAAACGATCCTTTTGGACGGAAATGTTTTCCGGCCTCTTTAGAAATCAAATACTTAAATTATAAATTGATTGATATACTGTTTCGATAAAATATATACTAGATATTAAATAATGAATGTAATACCATGTACTATTATTACAATGATACACGAATGATCTAAAATATATATATATATATATATATATATATATATATAATATATATATACTCTCGTAATTCTTTAAATATTAAATAAGTATATAAATTCTTCGTATATCCACAAATTCATGTATCTAGAAGTGCATGAAACAAATTTAATATCTAATAGAAAATGCTCGATTGTGTATCGACATTGCATGATTTTACAATGAAACTGTCACCATACAAATTGCCATGTTAGAATTCAATAAAAGTTATGGTTATAGAAAGAAGTGCGGGTAATGATGTTTCGACCTCTTGACACATTCATACTTAAACGTTGTAATTGGTATCCCACTTCTAGCAATGGGCACACTGAATTAAAGGTTGTTCTTCAGGTTCTTCGTGTTCTTAAATTCAATAATTTGAGCTAATCATTGGAATTTTTAAATATATAAGAATTTAACCATTTATAAACCATTGGAATTTGTATGAAGAAAGAAAAATATTAAGAAGAGGAGTGATAGTGAGAGTGAGAGTTGTAGAGGCATGTGAAAAAGCTTTGGAAGGCGTGGCCATGGTGGATACCATTTATAACCAAACATTCCATCTCCCTACCATTTCATGTTCTTCCTCTTCTTTTCAAAATTCCCGCATTAATTTAACTCCCTCTCTCTCTCTCTCTCTCTCACCCCTTTTCGCCGCTTCGGTGGATTCCTCCACCCAATGTTGCCTTTTCACTCCCTCTCCGCCGCCCAGGCCGCACTCGGCCGGAATCTCACCTACTTCGAAACCCTCTGGTTTAATTACTCCCATGACAAATCCAATTACTTCCTCTATTGCCACAACATTCTCTTCCTCTTCTTGATTTTCTCTCTTATTCCTCTTCCCCTCATCTTCCTCGAGCTCTTCCATGTCTCTGGGATTCATAAATACAAAATTCAGCCCAAAGTTCGATTACCCTCCGCCGAGATCTTCCGCTGCTACAAGGATGTCATGCGTATGTTCTTCCTTGTTGTTGGCCCTCTTCAGCTCGTTTCATACCCTTCCATTAATGTAAATCCTGGGTTTCGATTTTGCGATTTCCCCCACTTATTTATTTATTTATTTATTTTATTTGAGATTTTGATTGACGATGATTGTTCTTCTTTGTTTTGGATCATTAGATGATTGGGATCAGGACGGGCTTGCCATTGCCTTCTGGAGGGGAAATCGTTTCCCAGTTGGTAGTTTATTTCATGGTGGAGGATTATACCAATTATTGGGTTCATAGATTCCTCCATTGCGAATGGGGGTATGAGAAAATCCATCGAGTTCATCATGAATACACTGCTCCAATTGGATTTGCAGCTCCTTATGCTCATTGGGCTGAGGTTTTGATCCTTGGAATTCCCTCTTTTCTTGGTCCGGCTATGGTTCCTGGTCATATGATCACCTTCTGGTTATGGATTGCTTTAAGGCAGATTGAAGCAATTGAAACGCATAGTGGGTATGAATGCTAAACCTATTATCTCTCTGTTCTGCTTTTATTCGACTGCGACAGAATGATGCCGCCTTTAAATTTTCTGCGTTCTTTTATCTCTTTGCCAATGCCCCTTTGTGTTAAAGTACTTTTAATCTCAAGGATCTTGGATGATGAACATGCCTTTTGTTGACTAGGACTGGAATCTGCTCTATTGCTTTCTTCTTTTTTTAAATCTTCCTTGCCCTTTTTCTTATTATATATATTTATCTATAGACATAGGTATATGTTTACCCTATCATTACTGCATGAACTTATTGCATACTGAATCATTGCTCCTACTAACTTGATATAATGAAAGTTTGAAGTTGTTGAGATACATTGAAAAGATTAAATTTGCCCTTCTTTGAATTTTCTAGTTTCAACTTTCTTAGCTTTCACATTCTTCATAAAGTTATGGGAAAGGCCAAGCCACCGCTGCGGGTAGATTTTGTCCTTTTTGAGACTTTCCCTCAAGGTTTTTTCTCCTCTCCAATGATGTGGGATCGTGTGAGATTCCTTACTTAGCTTAAGAGGATGTATAAATCTTCTATGAGAATCCCAGCCTATGAAGCTTGATTCTTATTTACTAAACTAATAAGGTCCCACTACCTCTTTATGCTTTAAGGTTATGGACATAGACTATAGATGTTAGAGTAGAATGAAGTTAGTGTATGAGGAAAGGAAAAACAAAAAGTGGTTTTATGAGTGTAATTGCATATAGAGTAGGTAATTACAATGAAATGAAGGGAGGAATGCTGCAAGGATATCGACGAGCAAAGATCATGAACAAGATCATAATTGATCCAGTTCAAACATTCTTTGCTTTAAGGGAACTTTTAGCTCACACCCATTCTTAATCCTCCTGATCTCACACTCCATTGTGGTTGTTTGTGAAGCTTCAGGTTTACCCCTTGTGGAAGTGTGTTCTTCAAACTTAATGTTCAAATTTTGTAGCCTTGGGATTGTTGGGAAAAGGGGGGAAAAGGGAGGAAAAGGAACAAGGAGCTGATTTGTAGAAAGACATCTCTAGAGAACTGCATCTGGCACAATGGAATAGGTTATTCCTTATCAGAGCTCGACATCGGGTGATGTGTTAGCAAGGACGCTGGGACATCAAGGGGGTTCATTCTGAGATCCCACATCTGTTGGAGAGGGGAACAAAACATTCCTTATAAGGGTGTGGAAATCCCTCTCTAGGAGACGCGTTTTAAAACCGTGAGACTGACAACGATACGTTACGGGCCAAAACTGACAATATTTGCTAGCGATGGGCTTGGACTTAACGGAAGCTCTGTTTTTCATGTTGACTGTCCTCGTTAGTAAATTTAGACGAGTGAAGGGAAAGAAAAGTAAATTGACATTTGAAAGGGGCCAAGCTTACTCAAATAAGAATCCTTTGACTTGACCTCCAAATAGTTCAGTCGGGATAGAAATGAAAAGTAATTGATGGCAAGGCTTATGGCTGGGAATAAATGCGGTGTCAGATAATCATTTTCTTTGGTCATGTAGGACATAGCTTCCCTCTTGGTGGGTGTCCTGTGGCTGAACATTCCCCGACCCTTTGGTTGAACATGAATAGCTTTATGTACTAATATTTCATATTCTCTGGAGTTTCTTTCTTTCGTCTCTTTCATACAAAGACTGAGATAACTAGATGTTCATAGCTTTCTTCCGTGCCATGTTTTCTATAGACATGATAGAGAGGAGTGGTAAACTGATATTTAGTGTAAAACCATATGGGAAGGTCACTATTTCTATCTCTACCATGTCCACGAAAACATACTACAAGAGAACGCTAACATCCAATAAACAAGAACATAGATGTAACGGCTCAAGTCCATCGCTAGTAGATATTGTCCATTTCAGTCCATTACCTATCGTCGCTAGCTTCATAGTTTTAAAACACGTCTTCTAGTGAGAGGTTTCTGCACCCTTGTAAGAAAATCTCATAATCCACCTCCCTTGGAGGTCAGCGTCCTTGTTGATACACTGTCCTATGTCTGGCTCTAATACTATTTGTAACCGTCCAAGTCCACCGCTAGAATTTTGAGATCTTACATTCGTTGAAGAGGGGAACGAAACCTTACTTGAAAGGGTGTGGAATTGTGAGATTTCCTTATAAGGGCGTGGAAACCTCTCTTAGAAGATGGCATTTTAGGAAAATATGAATATGAATGAAGTGTTGTTTCTTTTCGTTCGGATTGTGCTTTTATAATGAGGGTAGAGATCATCCCTGGTTTCATGAATTGAATATTATTATATTCAGGTATGATTTCCCCTGGAGTGTAACCAAACTCATACCATTTTACGGTGGTGCGGACCATCATGATTACCATCACTATGTTGGAGGACAAAGCCAAAGCAACTTTGCTTCAGTATTTACCTACTGTGATTATATTTACGGAACTGACAAGGTAGTTATGCAATGCTGCTCTTCTTATAATTTTACCTCCCACTTGTTCTTCCAGTAAAATCCTCCTCATAAAAGTTACTCATTTGTTTACTTCCTCAGGGGTACCGCTACCAAAAGAAGATCCTTAAGAAGGTAAGCCTTTTCTTAAGGATCATATATGTTACTGCTATTTTTCTCATGTTCCTGATCGATATAATGTCTGCTTTGCGGTCGGTGACTCGTTCGTGCTAATTGTTTTTTGTTCATGTTATCAGTTGAAGGAAGAAGCGAAGATCAGTGAAGCATCATACTACAGCACAGCCCAAGATGTTAAATCAGACTAGACAATGAAAAGGGATTCATATGTTGAAAGACAGGTTTTTCCGGTTGGTATCGATGTTACGTAATCTCCGATTTGAAGATGACTTAATCGGGATCCATATATCGTCGTCAAGGTAGTTAGGGAACCGACTGGGGTGGGATGGGAAGGGAATTAGCTAGGGGTGTGTGTGGTTTAACCTTGTTGTGCAGACAATACTCTTAATATAAATATGTATTTTGCTTGTGAAGCTTGTTATGTTATATATCGATTTTGTTTTGATGGGGTGTTCGTAAAAATTAAGCTTATAAATTTTACTCGTTTGAAAATTTGAAAATGGTCTAGTAAAAGGAATCTAAAAATTAAAAATAAATATATACAACTAGTTAAATGTGATGTCATATTAGTTGGAGAGGAGAACAAAACACCTTTATAAGGGTATGGAAACCACGGATGCGTTTTAAAGCCTGAAAGTGAAAGCCCAAAGAGGACAATATTTGCTAGCGGTGGGCTTGGGCTTGGGCCATTATAAATTATATTAGAGTCGGACACCGGACGATGTGTCAGCCTTTTCGCTGTTCTCCGAAGGGGGTAGACGCGAGGTGGTGTGCCAGTAAGAACGTTGGGCCCTGAAGAGGGTGGATTGTGATGCCTCACATTGGTTGGAGAGGAGAAAACACATTATAAGAGTGTGAAAACCTGGGCATGAAGGGGGTGGATTGTGATGTCG